GGTAGTAGTAAAAACCAGCTCAAGGAAGGATGGAATGTTCTGGGCTTGCACTCTCTTTGGGATCACTTAAGATTTTGCTTTTCTTTTTTTTTTTTTTTTTTTTTTTTTTTTTTTTTTTTTTTTTGAGTCGGAGTTTCGCCCTTGTTACCCAGGCTGGAGTGCAATGACGCGATCTCGGCTCACCGCAACCTCCGCCTCCCGGGGTCAGGCAATTCTCCTGCCTCAGCCTCCTGAAGATTTTTCAAATCAAGCCATGGGCCATCTGTTGCCTAGTGAAAATGAAGGCGTGGGGATTTGGGAGACATGTCCCCACCTGGTGTCCCCATCTGGCTGCATGACCTTGGGAGGGTCCCATTCCCTTTCCTGACCTCGATGTCCTCATCTGCCCAATGGGATTCAGATTTTTTGTGTTACCCCAGGATGTGGGAGGATGAATGAGGGCAGGACGAGAATCACATGAATGTAAGGGATTATTCTCTACATCAGGGGAGGAGACAGGGTGGGAGCCTCTCTTCACCCGCCAAGCCCACAAGGGTGCAAAGGAAGTGGAGGGAGGAGCTGGGGACCACCCAGGCGAGCACACAGCCCATCTGCAGGTCAGGAGCATGTTGTCAGCAGCTGGGAGGCCCAGCCAGAGCTGATAGGGCAGCCACCCAGGCAGCTTGGAGAATCCGGACGTTAAAGGGGTTCTCTCACTGCTCTCTCAGTGCAGCTCCAGCCCTGTCGCCTCCCCAAGCCCCCATTTTCACCCTCCCACCCCCAACCCACACATATATCTCAGGAGACTCCACCACGCTTGCCCCTCTTCACCCATCCTGTCGCCAGAGCCACAGGGGGCTTTCACAAGGTAAACCCAATCATCTCTGTGCCTGCTCAGCACCCTCCAGCAGCTTCCCAGGATCTGAAGACAAAACCCAATCCCCTGACTTCAGTGGGTAAGGCACGATCCCAGCCCTTACCTTTAAGAGCCTGGCCTCAGAAAGAATCTGCCTTAGGTAGAATTCTGACCCTTCTCCTCATTCATTCATTCAAAATTGTTTAGCAAGCACCTACTGTGGGCCAGGTGCTGTTCTAGACATTTGGGAGACATCAGTGAAGAAATGAATGAAAGATTCCTGCCCTCAAGGAGCCTCCCTTCTAGCAGAGGGAGATTAACAATAATCGTAAGTAAATTATATGGCATGCTGGGAGGTGACAAAAGTGATGATAAAAAGAAAGAATAAGAAAAACTAGAGCAGAGGAAGTGGATCAGGAGTAGTGGGAGGGACAGGGGCAGGAGTTGCATTATTAAACATGTGGTCAGGGTAGGCTCCATTAAGAAGGTGCCACTTAAGAAAAGACGGGGCCAGGCATGGTGATCCACATCTGTAATCCCAGCACTTTGGGAGGCTGAGGCGGGCGGACCACCTGAAGTCAGGAGTTCGAGACCAGCCTGGCCAACATGGTGGGACCCCTGTCTTTACTAAAAAAATTACCGCAATTAGCTGGGCATGGTGGTGCATGCCTGTAGTCCCAACTACTCAAGAGGCTGAGGCAGGAGAATCACTTGAACCCCAGAGGTGGAGGTTGCAGTGAGCCAAGATCATGCCACTGCACTCCAGCCTGCGTAACAGAGTAGAACTCCGTCTCAAAAAAGAAAAAAAGAAGACTGGTAGGAGGTGAGGGAAGGAACCATGTAGATGTCAGGGGAAAGTGCAGGCTGAGGCAGTAGCCAGTGCAAAGGCCCTGAGGCAGGACCATGCCTGGCTTGTTTGAGCAGCAGCAGGGAGGTGGGCAATGACCCAGACTGGGGGACACTTTTCCAGTGAACAAGACAGACAAGGTCTCTGCCCTGAGGAGATCATCACTACAGAGCGAGGCGTTTAGACAAGAAAGGTGGTATGGGAAGGGCAGAGACGAGGGAAGTCTAAAAACTGTGGGGGCCCAGAAAGGACTCTTGACCCTCAAGATGAGGTAACCCCAAGCTGAGGAGTGGGAAATATGGAATCAAAGCATGGGAGAAAATTATTCCAGACCGATGTGGGAGTGTGTGCAAAGGCCCTGAGAATCCCACCGCTAGTCACCATCCCCACTGCTGTCTCCTGCTGCGGTGGCCACCCTCTCCCGCCTGGATGATTATAGCAGCCTCCTCTTGGGTCTCCCACAGAGGGGCAAAGAAGCTAGAGTATGCAGTGACTAACACCTCTCTTTGCTTGGTAGGAGTTCACACTCGTGGATATTAACTCACTGCCTGCCCCTCTCAGCCTGCATCCATGAGCAGAGAGAAGCAGGAGGCCACGGACATATGCAGCAGTGACCTCGGGGGACGCCTCATGGATTTTGGGTGGAGCACTGCCAGCACCTTCTACAGCCCTGCATGCTCAATGCCTCCTTCTCTCTGTCCTACCCTCTCCCCCTCACTCATTCTATTCAAATACTCTGGCTGTTCCCTCTGCCTGGAAGGCTCTTCCCCTAGATATCCACATGGCTCACCCCCTCATCTCCTCCACACTCTGTTCAAACGCCTTCTTCTCAGAGACCCCTCTCTGACCACCTTATCTCAAAGAGCCCCTCCATTATCACCTTGTCCTGTGGTAGCTTTTCTTTTCCTTTTTCTCCTTTCCTTCCCTTCCCCTCCCTTCCTTCCTTCCTTTTTCTTTATTTTTCTTTCTCCCTCTTTCTTTTCTTTTTTAGAGAAAGGGTCTCACTCTGTCACCCAGGCTGGGATACAGTGGCGTGACTGTAGCTCACTGCACCCTTGAACTCGTGGGCTCAAGTGATCCTCCCACTTCAGCCTTCTGAGTAGCTGAGACAACAGCCGCATGCCACCACATCTGGCTAGTTTTATTTTTATCTTTATTTTTTGGTGGAGATGGGGGTCTTGCACTGTTGCCCAGGCTAGTCTCGAACTCCTGAGTTCAAGTGATTCTCCACTTTGGCCTCCCGAAGTGCTGGGATTACAGGTGTGAGTCACCACACCAGGCTGCTGTTTTTATTTTTTGTAGCGCTTTTCACCACCTGACATATGATATATTTACTTATTTGTATGTCGACTGTTTCTCTCACCAGACTGGGAGATTCCTGAGGGCAGGGACCATGTCCAGTTTTGCTCATCACAGACTCTATCACAGGGCCTGGGAAGTTGATAAACATTTGTGAAATAAATGGTTCTGAAACTGAAGTTCTCTCCAACAGTCTTTCTGGGTCTGATCATTTCAAAATCTTGGAAATGACTATGATTCCCCTCCCCAACATTTCCAGTGGCCAGGGCTGGCCTCTAAGGGCCAGTCACCACCAAGAAGCTGCTAATGCGGGCACCTCCCTCAGCACCTCGCCAACCAGGCCCATCTGGTAGAGGTCAAGGGTCAACCTGGTCCAGGCCTCTGTGGGTCCCAAGGTAGAGAAGACCCAGTGCTGGGGTCCGGGCCGAGGGATGCCTGGTGAGCCCCATTTCTCCTTTGGCAAACATCCCCCTTTCCTTCTCAGGGCCTGTGTCTGCATTTCTGAACCAGAAGGTGTTTATACAAAACATCCTGGGTTTGGCGACAAATTCACCCTCAGTGAGGAATCCTTAATGAATCTCCCGCCTTCCCACACCAGGTGGCTGCAGGAAAAATTAGCTCTGCCTCTGGTAGTTGAAGGCAGCCAAAGCCTAGGCAACGCAGAGCTGCTGCTGGGGCTTCTGGGGCCACAATTGCAGCGTCCAGAAATAGCATGGACACCGGGCACTCCTGGCTCGCTGTGTGATGAGGCACTGCTCTTCTCCTGGCCTCAGTCTGCAGCTGTGAAATGGGGCAGTACTAATTCCATCCACACAAAGGCTGCTTTGACAAGTAAGGCAAGGGGTGTGAAGGGGCTTGGTTACAAGCGGTTGAAAGGAGAGAATAGAAAGCTGGAATCGGGGAGACAAGAGATCAGAGTGCTAATACCCGTCCTGCTCTTCAGACTTTTCGTTGTCCTTTCCCAGCGCCTTTTACAGCCCTGTGTGCTCAATGCCTCCTTCCCCGCTGACCTCCCGCCTGCTTCCCCCACCCATTCTGTTCCACACACACTGGCTGTTCCCTCTGCCTGGAACACTCTTCTCCTAGACATCCACATTGCTCACTCCTCATCTTCTTGCCTCTCTCTGAGGCTTGTTTTTTCCAGCTATACAATGAGGAGTTTGGGCGTGAAGATCTCGTGGGAACCCTCTGGTTCTGATGGCAACCATTTTCCATCTGCCTGCCTCCTCTGGGAAGTCCTCCCAATTCTGCCATCCATACCCATTTTCTTTTCTGAGCTAGCATTTCCTTGCTTACTGCCCACAGTTTCCAAGAGCGCCCTGGTGCCGTCATAGCTCACTGCAGCCTCCACTCCCCAGGCTCAGGTGCTCCTCCCACCTCAGCCTCCTGAATAGCTGGGACCAACAGGCATGCCCCACCGCGCCCGGCTAATTTTTTTTTTTTTTTCGTATTTTTAGTAGAAACGGTATTTTACCGTGTTACCCAAGCTGGTCTCTAACTCCTGGGCTCAAGTGCACGCCTTGGCCTTCCAAAGTGCTGGGATTACAGGCGTGTGAGCCCCTGTGCCCAGCCGATTCCTGCTTCCTTCCGATTCTGTGATGAGACACTGAGGGGGATTTTTATTCACCCCCCTTTTTATAAATTAGAAACTGAAAGTGTCAGAGATAAAACATTAATCACACTGCCACATGGGCTTTCTTGGTGTTTCTTAGACAGGGGAAGAATGGTATTTCCCAGGTCCTAACCACGACGTGCCATGGTATGTAACTGTTTTGCCATTAATTGTCGGTGTTTACCACTAGGATGAAGTTCCATGAGGGCAGGGATTTTGTTGTGTTCACTGCTGCATCCCAAGTCCCTAAAACTGCTTGGCACGTAGTGCGTAACAAATATGAACCGAGGGAGGAAGGGGTCAGAGGCAGCCCGCGGACTGAGCTCTCTGAGCCTGCAGAGGGCGCTCCAGCCCCGCCCCCTACAGCTAGACCCCGCCTCTCACGGCCGCGGACGCACGTGCGTTAGAGCCTGCGCGCCACCGTTCTCTTAAATGCGCAGGCGCTCCGGAAGCCCCGTGACAGCGGCGCATGCGCAGCGGAAGCCAAAGCCGGTGGAGTGAGAGAAGGGTCGCGCGAGCGTCGTAGGTGGAGTTGGTGGGCGCTATGCTGTCACCCGAGGCTGAGCGAGTACTGCGGTACTTGGTAGAGGTGGAGGAGCTCGCCGAAGAGGTGCTGGCGGACAAGCAGCAGGTGAGAGGCCCGTCCGCGGCGCTGGGGCCGGGCGGCTGGCGCCGTCGGAAAGCGCGCGGGGTTGCGGGGAGTTGACCCGGACAGGCGGTTAACTGTCCCGAGGCAACAGATGTGGGCCGATAAATATTCGGCCGCTACTAAGTGAGCGCCTGCGCAGTGCTGGGTATTCCTCTTCCTTCGTCCTTTCTCTGCCTCTTACCGTGCTCTCCGGGTCCCGACCCATCACTCTCTGGGCCGTTTCCCTGAGCACCTGTTTCAAAATGCACTTCCCGGCCCCCTGAGGCCCTTAGGGGAGAGGAGGAACCGCAGAGAGGCCTGGGGGAGCCTTGTGACCGGCCAGGAATGGGGTCGTCGGTTAAGGTGGTGCCGTGTTTATGGGGTGCCTTGTGGGGAGTTTGGGTCAGGCTCTAATTTAAGTGCCAGGTTTTTGAAGGGAGTTCCTGGGGAAGGAGGGTGACGTCATTGGATTTACGTTTTAAATGGATCCCTCTGGTTGCTGTGTGGAATACACAATATAGGCGGACAAGGGTGGAGTCAGGGAGATGGGTGAAGGGTCATTGCTATGGTCCAGACCAGAGATGGATTTGGACTAGGTAGTGGTGGTGGAGAGAAGTGAATGGGTCAGAAATGTATTTTGGAGACAGACTCAGTAGGCTGTGATAGCGGCTGTGTAAAGGGGTGAGGGAGCCGGGGGAGTCATGACTCCCTCTCATCCCTAGTTAGAAAGCTCAGGTATTTACTGAGAAGGGGAAAACTTGGGCAAGAGCCTGTCAAATTAAATGCTGGATCCGGGTGTGCTGGATGAGACTAATGAGAGCAGTTAACGATTATCAGCTGCTTAGTATGTGCCAGGTACTGTATTAAGTCACTTAATTGCTAGCTCAATAACCTGTGAGGTAGGTACTGTTCGTAGCGCCATTTTGCCGAGGAGTAAATAGAAGGTGACGTTACACAGCTTGAAGCAGACAGCAGGATTCCAACCTGGGTATTCCAGCTCCAGAACCAGCACTCTCGTGCAGCATACTGTACTACTGTCTCACTTCCTTAGTAACTATTGTGGTGTTACCACTGTCTCGGTGCCCCCACTTCTGCTGTTCCAATCTAGTATTGTTGGGTTTCTCATATTACTACGTCAGAACCAGCTGGAGAAGTTTGTCCAAAAATAGACATCAGGGCTGCTTAATCAGTGTGTAGGGGAAGGGTTTCCACTCTCCTGGTGATTCTCATAGGCCCTAAAGTTTGAGTCAATAGTACAGAATTTCCCATTTAGTCAGCACATGGTTTCCTAGCATCTTCTCTGGGGAGAGAGCAGTTGCACAAAGCATTGTCTTTAAGGACCAGGAAGCCGAGTGAGAGAAGAAATACATTCACACATCAATCCATTTTAGGCAGGACGTTGGAAATAACTCAAGAGTAATGCATTGTCTCTGCAGCCCTTGTCTGTCAAGAGGTGACAGCTTGGGGCAAGAGATAACAGAGTTCTCTCCTGTCCCCATGGTTTTCAGATTGTGGACCTGGACACTAAAAGGAATCAGAATCGAGAGGGCCTAAGGGCCCTGCAGAAGGATCTCAGCCTCTCTGGTAAGTTGAATTTTTCTCAATGCAGCGCTGGAGGCCAGTTCTGCTTTCCTTTAAGGCCTTTACTTTGCCGTGATAGAGATCCGGCAGGAGGCCACAGCTGTGTAACAGCCTTGTGGGAAATCGAAAGAGTCTGTGGAGATGGGGGAGCAAATTTTGCAGTTCTGGCACAGACTGTGGTTCAGGATTTCGGCTGCTCAGTGACAGGTCGTTGGCTCCTGGCTCATCGACAGTGGCAGACACTGAGAGTGCTGAGGGTGTAAAAAAGTGATGGTTCCTGCCCTTGTGCTTTACAGATGAGGAAAACAACGTAAAATGCATTATTGAAAATTGTAAGAGAGCCAAAGATGGAATTGGAGTTGGGGTGGGTGTTGAGAATATATATCCAGAAGAATCGGACCCTTTAGATGAGGCCAAGTGGCTATGGCAGAGGAAGCAAATGGAGAGGGTAAGTATGGCTGGAGAGAGAGGCAGAGACCAAGCCATAATGAAAGGCCTTAGGGGCTGAGGAAGTTTACATTTTGTTGAAAGTGCACTGGAATATGCAGAATCTTCCAGTTGCTTCTCATCTCACCCAAGTAAAATCCAGAGGTTCTACAAGACAGTAATCCAGCCCCCATGAGTCCATGAGTGTGCCAATATCATCTCGACTCTCCCTCATTTATGACTTCACCCACATGGGTCTCTTTGGTGTGTGTGTTTTGTTTTTTGTGTTTTTTTTTTGAGGGGCGGGGAGAGAGTTGCTCTGTCACCCAGGCTGGAGTGTAGTGGCATGACCCTGGCTCACTGCAACCTCTGTTTCCAGGGTTCAAGTGATTCTGATGCCTCAGCCTCCTGAGTAGCTGGGATTACAGGCATGTGCCACCACAGCCAGCTGATTTTTGTATTTTTAATAGATAGAGGGTTTTGCCATGTTGGCCAGGTCAGTCTTGAACGCCTGTCCTCAAGTGATCGCCTGCTTTGGCCTCCCAAAGTGCTGGATTACAGGCATGAGCCACTGTACTCCCCTTGCTGTTCCAAACACCCTAAGCACACTACCGATCTTTGCTGTTCCTGTTCCCTTTGTTTGGCTCACTCTTTCCCCAGATGTCTGCAGGGCTCACATTCTCACTTTCCTTGGGTTTCTGTGTAGATATCACATAATCTTAGAAAGGCCTTCTCGGACTACCTGGTATGAGTAACAAGTTCCTCCCCTACTCTGGCATTCCCTAGCCATCTGAGCCTGCTTTAGTTTTCTCTATAGCTCTTAATCAAGGTCTGACAAACGGTATCTGTTTATTCTCTCACCTCCACTATAACAAGCTCCAAAAGGGCAGGAACTTTGTCTTGCTCTGCTGTGTTCTCTGCATCTAAAACAATGTCTGGCCAATAATAGGTACTCAAAAACAAATTGCTGAAGGAATTGCCATTTGCTCTTTCAGAAGATGTGATGGTTTGCTTCGGGAGCATGTTTATCAAGATGCCTCATCCTGAAACAAAGGAAATGATTGAAAAAGGTAAGGCCTCCTGGGGATGGGTCAGGGGTGTGCTGCCTCACACACCAGCTTTGGTCTTAACCCAGAACAGGGAGTCAGGCTTCAGGCAGCTTGAGAGGCAGCTCTGTTACAGGGTTCAGACTGCTGTGGGTTTTAATTCCACCTCTGCCACGGTGGGTTATTTCCTCATCTCTTAAGAGGCGGATGCATCTGTGTAGCATAGTTGTGAAGTTGAGATAAAACAATATGTGTGCCTAGCATAGTGCATGCTTATTAGTGAGGAATCAGGCTGCAAATAACAAAACCCAACAAATAGAGGCTCAAGGAAATACGCTTCTTTTACTTTTGTGAAAGAAATTGTCCAGAGGTGTGTAGTCCAGTCCTGGCATAGCTGCCCTTAGCATATTCTCCTGGTAGTTGTTTGATTGTTGCAAGCCTCATGTCCTCATGCCAGGCTGGAAGAAAGACAGAAGGCTTTCACCATATTTTGGAAGTAAGGCCATCTCCTCAGGGACTTCGCCAAGATTCATTGGCTAGAACTAGGTCACGTGGTCACCCATAGCTGCAGGGGAGCCTGGGAGAGTGAGCTTTTCTTTTTCACGTGCCCTGCAATAGAGACCGGGTTGTAAAATGGAACCTCTAGGGTCTGCCATAGCCTGGGCACTTAGTGTACTCAAGTTTCCACAGCCATAATCTGGAAGCTCTTTGGAAAAGCATCTTAAAAGCAAGAGTCAGGCTACAAATGGACTCTTGGCTAGAAAAAGAACAGACTACACTTATTTTTTCTTCTATAACCTTGAAAATGGCCAAAAAGACAAGCAAGGTTGCCTCAGTCCCTCAAGACAGGGTGTCTTCATACCTCATGAAATAAAACTTCTTTTTCCCCTTGAGACGGAGTCTTGCTCTGTTGCCCAGGCTGGAGTGCCATGGTGCTTTGTTGGCTCACTGCAACCTCCACCTCCCAGGCTCAAGCAATTCTCTTGCCTCATCCTCCTGATTAGCTAGAATTACAGGCACATGCCACCATGCCTGGCTAATGTTTTTTTAGTAAAGATGGAATTTCATTATGTTGGCCAGGCTGGTCTCTAATCAGGTGATCCGCCCACTTTGGCCTCCCAAAGTGCTGGGATTACATGCCTGCCAGTTACAACCGCCAATGACATAAAACTGCTAACAGAAGCAGCTGGAGAAGTTTCCAGCTGTTGTGTTGAAAAAATACACTAATAGTTAGAAAATGAAAATGCCCTTGATGGTGAGCTGGAGAGTAGCTTTGAGAGGAGTCCCTTGCCTGGGTTCAGGATCTTGTTGGCTCTTTTGGTCCCCAAGTGTGATCTTTTCACTGTACCTAGAGGGGTTCTGGGACATCACCAGGTTTCTTGGGGATCAACATAGGCTAAACAAGTGCATGGACACTGGGGTTACTCATTGACAGTGAGAAACAGAACCAGGTTATAAGGCTTGGGCATTCAGCATTTCTCCCCCCAGAAGGAGTGAGTCTGTGGGGAAGACAGACTAGCCAGAGTGTCACTGGTGAGCAGGTGGAATTGGCTGGGTGACTTCAGTCGATTAGTCAGTCAAGCTTTGATAGCTGCCTCTCATATCACACTGACTCTTCTCAGGGCAGTCCATGGCACTAGGAGACGATTTTCTCTTCACAGTGGCTAATTAAGCTTGAGCATTAGGCTTGCATGTCAATTGTTTAGGTCACATGTTTACACAATCATGTTTTTCTAAAACCCCCTCACCTTGATGGACTTGGGTTTGTAAAATTCCCTAGGCATCCATTTTCCAGCCATCTAGGGTGGGCTGGATCTAGAGATGCTTTATTTTGTTTATGCATTTGAATTGTACATAATGTCATTGTGGGAGGGTGGCCAAAATCTTCATGTTGCTTTCTCTCTCTACTGGCCACCCCAAGGTACTTTGCATAATGCAAAACAGGGCAGTGTGAGAGTCAGGACTGCTGTGTCCTGGGCTCTCTTGAGTGGTCCTGAGCAGGTCATGGCCCTTCTAGCCTTTATCCTTCCTCAGTTGGTCTCTGATACCACTTTTCCTTCCTGAAAGCTACACGCTCTGCTGGGGAGAGGCTAGCAGCTCTACTCATGGGTCCAGTGTGTCTGGTACGATCTTATCTTATGCTTGCCTCCCTCTTTTTTCCAGATCAAGATCATCTGGATAAAGAAATAGAAAAACTCCGGAAACAACTTAAAGTGAAGGTCAACCGCCTTTTTGAAGCCCAAGGTATTGGCTTAGCAGGGACTGGAGACTAGAAGGGAAGAGAATCATCAGCATGGACTTTAAAGGGCAGGGATGGGAAGCCTGACCCTCAGAGGTGGGCATTGGCCGAGGCAGCCTGTGAGTGGCCCTGGAGGTGTGTGCAGTGGTTGGTTATAGCTGCCAGGGGACAGAATGGACGGGGGATTTAAAGAGTCCTGCCCCTGTCACAGCTTCCTTTCCAGGTCCCAGGAACCGCTTGGGGTGATCTCACGTTATGTGTCAGGGCATGGCATGGGGATCAGATAGCTCTGACTGAGGAAATTCAGAAGGCCCAGTGAGGTGATTGATTGAGGTCAGAGCTGAAATTCCTGATAAACCCAGGCACTCTAGATTTGTCACAGGTCTTGGAAAAACCTGGATCTCTTTGGGCAGCAGAGTCATGACTTTGCAGGCTCTTGGTGACACAGGAGTGGTGGTGATGCCTCATCTGGTACATTGGAGGCCCATCCTTGCCAGACCTCCAGGCCGAGTTTGGCAGCATTGGTGCAGTGTCAGCCCCTTTCCTGGGCCTGGCTCCAGAGCCAGCAGGAGGCCCGACATGCCGATGGATCATCTTCTCTCCTAGGCAAACCAGAGCTGAAGGGTTTTAACTTGAACCCCCTCAACCAAGATGAGCTTAAAGCTCTCAAGGTCATCTTGAAAGGATGAGACTCAAGAACCAAGATGGGGGACCAGTGACCAGCAACCCCCACAGGGTCATGGAGGACCCAAGACCCTCCAACCTTGACACCTGTAAGGACAGGATCTGCCCTGTAAGGGGACAGGCATCAGGTATCTGGCCGTGAAAACCTCTTTGTCTATACTGCTTGGCTGCTCTGTGACAGCAGGAGGGAACCCTCAGCCTGTCTGGCTGCTAGACCTGGACACCAGGGCACAGTGCACACAAGACCTATTGATAGGCCCTGGCAGCCACCAGTGGGTGTGTGGAGCTGTGGCTGTGGGGGTGTGCGAATGACTGCAGCAGGCACTTCTCAACAATGGCCTGCTGTAAGGACCCTGAGCAGGGAAGGAGGGAGGGGGAGGGGGCAGAGTGGAGCTTCATCCCAGCATTTCTCTCAGAAGAGAGCTTTTCAGGCAGGTGCCCTGAGATGGGAAAGCAAGAGGCTGAGGAGTGGATGCTGAATGAAGAACAGAATCTTGGTGCTTTGTGGCTCACCACAGCCACCTGTGTGTCTGCCCCACAGATGACTGCCAGCTCCATTTCTGCCCTTTCTCCCTGCTTGATTCCAAGAGTAGATGTTGCCTAGCAGCCCTTTGTGGCCACTCTTCCGTCAGGAGGGCCCTGCAGAGTCCTGCACCAGGCCTGCATGAGTGGGTGCCCCTCCACCCCCTCTGAAAGTGGGGCCTGGCCAGTGCTGCTTAGTACTGTCTGCCTCCCGTGGTATGAACTGCCGTGAAGTCAGAACTCTTGTGTTCATTAAGGGCTCAATAAAGCTTAGCTGAATGAATAAATAACAGCAGCTAGTCTTTATTTGCCTCATCTAGTCCTTCAGTAAGGGCACGCTGCTCCATTTAGAATACCACCTACGAATGTGGTTCTTACCATCGGTTCTTACCTTCAGATGAACCTGTGGTTTGACAGGCAGGTGACAACAAATGGCAGCATGGCAGGGGCACACCTCTCCTGGTCCCCTCGCTCCTTTGCTCAGGCTCATAGTTACATAGAAACACAGGCTGTCATGGCCAGTTCTTATGTTTTTTCAAAAGAAGCTACCAGGCATCCCCAAACTACGGCCCGCGGGCCGCATGCAGCCCCCTGAGGCCATTTATCCGGCCCCCCGCTGCACTTCAGGAAGGGGCACCTCTTTCATTGGTGGTCAGTGAGAGGAGCACAGTATGTGGCGGCCCTCCAACGGTCTGAGGGACAGTGAACTGGCCCCCTGTGTAAAAAGTCTGGGGATGTCTGAGCTAGACATTCAGGTTGTGAAGTTGATTAGAAATTACTGTGTGTTTTCCCTGTAATCTCTTTAAGAAGTAGGCAGGTGGAATTGGAAACCAACTACGTCAATCCACAGGGGACTAGTTAAAGGAATCAGTAGCTCCAGGTAGGGGAGTACCATACAACCACAATCAAGAATAAGAAACAAGCTGCAAGACACATCAAGTGAGAAAAGCAAGAGGAAGGTAGGTGTCTTACAAGCTAATAATGTGTGTGCAAACGCAATGTGATTCCCTCAGAACAGCACCTGCAGGGTTGGGGCACAGAGGTGGGAGGGGAGATGTCACCCTAAACTCTTTTGTAAATTTTTAATTTTAAACCATATGAATATAATGCTTATTTTAAAATGTAAAAGTAGGGAGTTGCAGAATTCACCTTGCTAGATGTTCGTTCTCCAGTGTGACTGCCTGGTTCACAATTTCACCATTGGAAAATTGCCCCTTTCTGCCTGGCAGGGTGGGTGTTGGGCCAAAGAGAGCCAATCGCATTCCTTCTCCTGGAAGTAGGGAACCTGGAGCCCATGCATGGGCCTGTCCGGGTTTGCCTCAGTCACAAGGATGGACGGGAGAAATCCTCATGCTCTGAAGGCAGAAGGTCCAGAGTAGCCTGGCTACTCTGGACCTTCCTAAAGTCAGCTGGTTCACTTCTTGGATTTGCCAGTATTTTCTTTCCAAAAATCTTCCCTTAACTTACCCTAGGCAGTTGCATTCCACCATTTGCAGCCAGAGAAACTACTCTGAAGCAGGGTGAGTGGTAGAGGGAGGGAGTGAATCCCCCCGGAGCAGTTCATCAGCCCCAACTCGATGCAGTCCCTCTTAAGCCAAGAGGAGGCTTAGGAATGTAGGTTGTGAAAATGCAGAAGTTTTTACTCACTGTCACCTCCCCAGGCTGTATTGCCCATGAGCCCAAGGTTTTCTGGTTTCTGGCTCAGCTCCCAATCTCAAACAAGGTGTAGAGAAGCACCTAAGTCACCCCTCTGACCTAGATAAATGCACCTTTGCAGAGACTCTGGCTAAGCTCTGCCTTCCTGCTCTGTCTTGTCTGAGAAATGGGGATGTTCTGGCCCACTGTTTTTCAGATGATGGTCAGGGAGCCCCATGGGTTACCCTGACATGCAAGGTCAGGGTATTGCAAGGAAATGTGTTTAGGGCTCAGTACTTCCCCAGATCCCCAATAAATACATCATCTACTGCTCGCTTCGCAAGCACCGCTTAAAGACAAGTTCCTGCCGGGCGTGGTGGCTCAAGCCTGTAATCCCAGCACTTTGGGAGGCCGAGGCGGGTGGATCACGAGGTCGAGAGATCGAGACCATCCCGGTCAACAAGGTGAAACCCCGTCTCTACTAAAAATACAAAAAATTAGCTGGGCATGGTGGCGCGTGCCTGTAATCCCAGCTACTCAGGAGGCTGAGGCAGGAGAATTGCCTGAACCCAGGAGGCGGAGGTTGCGGTGAGCCGAGATCGCGCCATTGCACTCCAGCCTGGGTAACAAGAGCGAAACTCCGTCTCAAAAAAAAAAAAGACAAGTTCCTTAACCTCCAAACTCTAGCTCCTAAAGGACCTTTTCAACATTAACTTGAGAGGCATCCAAGTGTCAAAGCCAGGAGGACTTGGATTCAGCCAATAGTATCCCGTGAGCCAGGCCTGGGTCCAGTGACTCCAAGTAGGGCTTGTGCTTAAATTTATTAGATATGATCTCTCAGGGGTAGCAGAACTTGCTGTATTTGTTCTCTTTGGGCCCAGTTGCCAAGTCAGTCTGTCAAGGTTAAAACCCCTCCAGTCCCAGGGATTGGCTGTCTCCTGGTGCAAAGATGCCTGGGGACCAGCTGGAGGTAACCAAGGGGCCTAATTCAAGTAGGAAGCTGCAGCTGCTAAGCCAGCAAAGCTGGTGCCAGGCTGGAGGTGGGGAGGCGAGTGCTGTGAGGTGCTGGGATCTGGGAGGCGGGGAGAGGCCTGGGCGGTACCTGCCAAGGCTGATTTCCTTCTGGCAGCTGGGGATCAACTGGAAGCTTTCTTCTGGACTTGAAGGGAGCAGAAGAGCTGCCTCAGCTGTTTTTTCCGATCGTTGACGCAGCCTGGAAAGGAAGTAGAGTGTTGGCTGGAATGACCTGTGCTTCGGAGAAGTGGAGTGCCCCGACTCCCTGCTGGCAAGAGGGGACAGCAGGAGTCACCCACAGCCTGTGGTTTATACTCTGGCTCCATTCCTGAACTGCCATGGCCCTCAAGCAGATCATTTACCCTTTTCAGCATCAGTCTTCTCATCTGTAAACGAGGATACTACCACCCACCTTAGGGAGTGAACATGAGGACTGGGGGCTTACCTCAAGCCAGGCACTGCTCCAGATGCTGAATGTGGATGGATTTGTTTAGCCCTCTTGGGAATGATGTGTAGAAGAGAAAATGGGCTCAGAGAGGTTAAATCATTTGAACCCAGGCTACCTGGTGCTAGAGCCACACTCTTAACCACTACCCCACACTGCCGCTCCTCCTGGCTTTGCTCAGTGAAAATGCATTTAAAGCTGAGTGCCTGGTACATCATAGCTGTCCAGTACTGTCAGCTTTCTTCCCTTACCCAACCCACGTGCCAGGCACAGCTGGCTAAGAGATGAGTTTTCCCCACATGTGGCCTGCAGTCTCGTGGAAGTATGTCCCAGGCAGTCTGTGCCGAAGCTGCCATGAGCTGCTGAGACGTTCTTCCAGGACATTCATGGTGCTACATGTTGGCTGTTTGCTCTCAGAGCTGATCCTTGAGGTGACTCTGGTCATTTAATCTCATGCCAGGCACATTGATGGCACTCAAAAATGCAGCTTGAATGACAATCTCTGTGGCCACTAGTACTGACCTGGGGCTGTCATGTTTTACATCCCCCCAAAACTTGTCCCTGCTTCCCAGGCACGCACTCAGCTATTCACTGAGCTGAGACCTTACTGTGCACATCCTTGGGATTTTCCAGAGTGAGTTCCATGCAGCCCTAACTTAAACTGTATTTCGCTCATTCATAACTCCCAATTCTCATCCAGTGCAAACTTCTTGGAGTTCTAAACTCATCTCTGAGTTATCTGCTGACCCTTTCGTCTGGATGTCCCTGAACCCTTCCCTAACTCAATTCATCAGTACTCTTCCTAGCCAGCTACCCTTGTGTTTATCACCATGAACCCAAACACTTGAAACAAATAGTTCTAGAGACTTCTAAAAGCACTGGCTGCCCTAGCCTGGTCAACATAGCGAGACTCTGTCTCTATGGGGAAAACACCCACACACAAAATTAGCCAGGTGTGGAGTGTGCCTGTAGGGCCTAGCTATTTGGGAGGCTGAAGCAGGAAGATTGCTTGAACCTGAGAGTTTGAGGTTAGTTGCAGTGAGCTATGATCACACACTGCAGTCCATACTGGGTGACACAGCAAGACGCTGTCTCTAAAAAAATAAAACAGTGGCTCTCAACTTGGGCTGCGTATTGGAATCACCTGGGAGCTTTAAAAGCTACTGATGCCCACACCAACCATATCTTTATCTGGCAGGCATCACTAGTCTTTAAAGCTCCCCGGTGATTCCAGTATGCGGCCGAGGTAGAAAACGGCGGCTCTCCGTCTTTGCTACGCGAATGGGGGTCCGGGAACTAACGTGCATTGATATCTGAGGTGCACTGTTAGCAAAGATGGCTGCAAAAATTCCATTCCTATATGCACACCTCTGTGCAACGTGACTTGGCTGCTCCTCTCATCAACAGGTTGAGTCTATTTTCTTACCCAGTGACTGGACTAGACCAGAAAATTGCTTTGACTGTAGCAGAATGACTTACGGGACTTCTGAGTCTAGGATGCAAAAGGCTTTGCAGTGTCTTTTCTCACCTTAGAACCCCGAGTCTATCACATGAAGAAGCCAGGGCTAGACTGTTGGAAGATGACTGGCCACGTGGAAAGAGAGGCCCAGCTGACAGCCAGTATCAACTCCCCACACCTATGAATGGGGCTGTGGTAGGCCATCAAGTCTCAGTAAATCTGCCAGGTGCCTGCAGCCCTATGAGTGACCCCAGTAGAGACCTGAAGAAGCACGAGCAAATAAAGTAGTTGTTTTAAGCTGCTAGGTTTGGGGAGGGCTTGTTACACAGCAATGGTTAATCAATAGAGCATCACGCAGGAACTTGTTAGAAATACCATCATAGGCCCCACCCTAGAACTACAGAGTCACAATCTGTATTTTAACAAGGTTTCCAGGTGACTGTATGCACATTAAATTAAGCTTGAGTGTTATATAGTCATCCGAAGCCTTATACATTTAGAAAACTAAGCCCATAGAAAAATGGAAAGAGTATGGACAGCTTACAAAAGAAGAAATGCAAATACCAAAAAATGGAAACCTCACCAGTAATCAATGGAATGCACATAAAACAACAATGAGTCAGTATGTTTTGCCTCGCCAGCTGGCACAGATTTTTTTCTAAAAATTCAAATCTGGCAAATTCATACACTCTTTCTGGAAAGCAATTTGGTTGTAATAAGCCCATCCCTTTGGCCCAATAATTCTCCTTCTAGGAATCTATCCTCAGGAATGGCCAGAATTTCAGCTGAGCTTAATGTGAAAGGGTGTTTATCATGGTTATTAGTCATAAAAGTGAAAAACATGCAATTGTGCCAAATGTCCAATCATAGAAATTGGTTTAGTAAATTTTGGAATATGCACAAACTGAAATACTTTGCAGCCATATGGTAATTTTTTTTAACTCTGCCAAGAGGCCGGAAAGTCTATCGGTCAAGCACTCGGGTTTTGGAGCCAGGCAGATGGGAGTTTGCAGCGTGGCTCCCCGCTTATGACCAAGACCTTCATTCAGCAAGTTACATAGCACCTGGAGATCATTTCCTCGTCTGTAAAATGACAAAGCTGCTTAAAGATAAATGAGATAATGTACGTAGAAGATTTCATCTGGACTGGACCAAAAAGTGCATTCATGATGGAGGCTCTTATTAATATGCTTGAATGAAAAATGCCACGTGGGCAAGTGGGATTCGAAACTCTAGCCCAATGCCAATTTTGTAAAAGAAAAAGTATGAATATATGTATTTTTTAAGAACTGGAAGGAAATACACCAGATTGTTAAAGATGGTTATGTCTGGATATTTTTTAAATTTCTTTCTTTAGTTTTCAAATATTCTACAATGAGACAGACTACTTTTTTTATAATCAGTTTTCACTTTTTAGAAACCAACTTTACAAATGAGGAACAGCTGTGTCACCCTTGCCCAAGGTGACACAGCTGGTAAGTTGCAGATTGAATTCAAACAATCTAACCACTATGCCAAGCTGCCTCCTAGACTACTTGGTACCTCCCATGACCCATCCCTTGTGCCCAATCCCCACCTGACCCTACATACCGAGGTGTGTGTTGGTCACAAAGTTTCCCATTCCGGACAGGTCAGGAGGCCCCTCCTCTCTGCTAACCGGGCCATCATTCCACATGAGGTCAAAGCCCCCGACTCGCTTCTCCCTTCCCGTGAGCCTGGACAGGAAGGAGGCACGTGGGGTTAATGAAGGTGCATCTGGTGGGGGCCCCAAGACCCAAGTCGGGTCCCTGATCCCTCCATGAGCCCTACTGATGTCCCTCCCATCAGAAGTCCGTTTTCCCAATCACTCATTGGCTGTTTCCCAGGTACCTATGTAAATCTCCGAGGGGGCTGTTCCCGTTTTTCCCCCAAGGCTCCTCCTACTTGCTCTTGGTTTTTTTGTTTTCTGACAGTCTCTCTCTGTTGCCCAGGCTGGAGTGCAATGGCACGATCTTGGCTCCCTGCAACTTCTGCCTCCCAGGTTCAAGCGATTCTCCTGTCTCAGCCTCCCAAGTAGCTGGGACTACAGGTGTGCACCACCACACCCAGCTAATTTTGTATTTGTTTTTCTTTTTTTTTTTCCTCTGGTGAATTCTGCTTCACAATGATAATTTTGTATTTTTAATAGAGACAGGGTTTCACCGTGTTGGCCAGGATGGTCTCAAACTCCTGACCTCAAGTGATCTGCCTGCCTCGGCCTTCCAAAGTGCTAGGATTACAGGCATGAGCCACTGTGTCTGGCCATGTGCCTCTATTTGTGATTTCTGGTTTAAAGTCTCCTTTCCTCCTCAGACCTTAAACTCCATAAAGGCAGGGACTGGTTCTGTCATGTTCCTTACTATGTCAGCAGGGTGTGGCACAGGGCCTGGTACAGAGCAGGGCTCAAATGTTTATTAAATGAATAAGTGATGGTAGGAATGGTGGATACCTGAGGTTGCTGCTTGCTCAGCATCCATTTCACCTTCTTCCTGTCCAAGGGTGCCTTGGGTTTTGCTTTGAGAATCATTCCTCCCTCCTTTACCAATAGCTCATGTGGGGTTGACTCCACTCCCTAGGAGGTGGGCACAAGAACTATGCCTGGTCAAGCAGAGTCACAATGAATAATTCAGCAATGGGCATGTATCCCAGTTCCCAGCAAGGAGGAGCTGCCCTCAGACTTCTGCTGGAATAATTGGAGAAAATGGGGGGGGGGGGGGGAAGCTAATACAGAGGAAAAGAGGAAGGAAGGGAGGGACAGACCGAGGAGGAGAGGAGGAAGAAAGGAGAAAACAGACCAGCCACCACTGAGCACCTGGATTCACCCATTCTCACAGTAGCTCTGGGCTTTTTTTCTGCTATTGCACACTGTTATAATGATAGTCTTGTATTTAGCACTTACTGTGAGGTAGGCACTAGATAGTAAATTGTCTTTGTAAATTAATCTAACAATTCTGAGAGGTAGACATGGTATTTCCTATTTTACAGATGAGGAAGCTGAGGCTCAGAAAGGTGATGTGACTAGTCCAGAGCCTCACAGTCAAGAGGATTTGAGGAAATCCTGCTGGACTGTCTCAGAAAGCTATAGTTGGCCCTGCTCTGCCCTGGAGAGGCCAAGTCCATGGCAGGACCTGGCCCTCCATGAACATCTCAGCTTCTCCATCTATAAAAAGTGATGAGGCAGGCCAGAGCCATCGCTGAAGGCTACTCAGGCCCCAACGTTCTAAGCTCCCCCCTCTTGCTTGGTGGGAGTCCCAGTTGTCATGTACAAGGACATGTGATCAAGGCTACCCACCCTCACCTCGCTTCCATGTCCACGACATGCAGGGTATCTTCCAGGAGACAGGTCTTGAGCTCATAGTCTTCCTGGCTGCTGGCTGTCAGTGATGGGGATGCATTGACTTCTAGGAGCCACCTGGGGAGGGAGGGGAGTGGAGAGCCTTAGGGTTACTTGGTCCCTGGAGCCCCTAGGATTTCACTAAGTGGCTAGATGGATGCATGGACCCCACCCTCAGTTCAGTCCAGGCTGCTCCCTCTACCTTTCTGTTTTTCAAATTATTTTTATAGCGTTAGGGTCTTGCTAGGTTTCCCAGCTAGTCTCAAACTCCTGGCCTCAAGTGCTGGGATTACAGATAGGAGCCACTGTGCCCCGCCCCCTCCCCAACCACCCTTTCCACTTTTTTTTTTTTTTTTTAGATGGAGTTTTGCTCTTATCGCCCAGGCTGGAGTGCAATGGTACAATCTTGGCTCACTGCAACCTCCACCTCTGAGGTTCAAGCGATTCTCCTGCCTCAGCCTCCTGATTAGCTGAGATTACAAGTGCCCACCACCATGCCCAGCTAATTTTTTTTTTGTATTTTTAGTAGAGGCAGGGTTTCCCCTAATTGGCCAAGCTGGTCTCAAACTCCTGATCTCAGGTGATCTGCCCACCTCGGCCTCCCAAAGTGCTGGGATTACAAGCAAGAGTCACCGTGCTGGCCGCTTTTCCACTTTGAGGAAAGGTAACTCGAAAGTAGAAAGCTGGCATGGGAATGACTACGGTGCCTTCGTGGGGTTATGGTTTTCCCTTCTTCCAATACAGATGTGAATGCAAGGAAAACTGTCTTGTCTTGGTGAAAATTTGCGCACTGTAGGTGGCAAGCACCCTGCTGTCGGGCTGGGAAGCATGGGGAGGCGTGGGGACTGTGTGGAGCTGGCCAGGGCACTCCATGTCTAAAGTGGTGGCCGTGGCCAGCTCCAGGAGAGTGTTGTCCTGTGGGAATGTGAGCCCAGAATTTCGAGATCATCTGATTTTTCCAGAAAAGGCAAAAACGGTTTTGTTTTGTTTTTTTAAGGAGTCAGTATCTGGCTCGCTCACTCAGGCTGGAGAACAGTGGTGCAGTCTAAGCCCTCTGCAGCCTTGAACTCCTGGCCTCAAGTCATCCTCCTGCCTCAGCCTCCTGAGTAGGTGGCATTATTACAGGGGCTTGAGCCACTGTACTCAGTAATTCTGATTTTTATGTAAACATCTTCCAAATTTTAGAGCCTGTCAATAAATTAAAATTAAAAACAAAAACAATCTAAAGGCCAAATTCAAAGTATCTGCAGGCCAAAGCAGCCCAAAGACCTCCAGCTAGCCACCTCTTGTCTTGTTCAACTGCATCCTTCTAGACAGGAAGCTGGGGCCCAGAGAGGGAAGGGCTCAGCCCGCAGGTCAGTGGGAGACCAAGCCCCTTTCCACTATACAGCAAATTATCTTGGTAAATTACTCTTAACAACTTGGAGAGGTCGACATGGTGTTTCCCATTTTACAAATGAAAAAACCAAGGCTCAGAGAGGTGACATACCCCGCTGGGGTCCTGCACAGCCAGTCCTCTTGGACATGTAGAATTTTTGCCCACATGGAGGGGTACACCCAGAGTCATCCTAATCACAACACTCAGGGCTGGACCCCTCTTGTCCAGGCCTAAGGACAGCGCTGAGGGCAATTGTGTAGGGGTCTCATCAGGCCAGGTCATGATTAACTGAGGTCCCTCCCACAACTTGACTACCCAGCCCCCAGGGCGAGTGGATGCTCCAGCTCTTCCCACAGTTGCTGGTGTCCAAGCATGGGCAGAGCTTATTCCCCACCAGGTCCTCCTTAACGCCAGCAGTCACATCCTGCTGCAGGGGCAAAGGAGAGAGACCCGCTGGTGCCCGGACCCTGTTTCCCTTGAGTGAGGGCCTGACTTTAGTCTTGCTCTAGGGCCCCTCCTCCTGGCCTAGAGGGCACCTCAACACTCACATGGTGACCCTGAATAGGGGGTTGGGTCCTGGAGCCGGCAGTGCTGGTGGGGAGCCGCTCAGCCTAGGTCCTTGGACCCTGGGCCTGGCTTTGCCCTTGACTTGCTACATGATCTCAAGCTCCCTGACCCTTGCTGGGCTTCTGTGTCCTGTTGCATCGAGTGAGGCCATCATAGTGGTCCCTACCAGGTCAGGCTTGTTCTAGTCATCAGCTCAATCTCCTCCAATGGGCACCATGGAAATGGATCAGTCTTGGCAGAGATGAACACTGTGACAATGTTCCATTATTCTTCAAAGCTCCAAGACTTACAGAGGGGAAGTTTCTTGCCTGATAGAGGGGAGGATTCCTGACTCAGCAGATGATCAGGAAAGGCCTCCCGGTACCAGGCTCGGTGCCCAGTGCTCTACAGACTGTCTCTCACTTATTCCTCATAATGATCCTATAATGATCTATGGATAGATCCTGTAATGACCAACCCCATTTTGCCATTGGGCAAACTGAGGCACAGAAAAAGTAAGTGTGCACAAGGTTATACAACTAGGAACTGGCAGAGCTGGCATTCAAGCCCGGGCAGTCTGGGTGCAGAATATGCAAACTATGACCTGCTGGTTCTCTCCCAGACCCACTTACGGCTTGAGGTCCTGGTCGATGAGAATGTCGTAGCCATACAGCTCGAAGCAGTGCTTGTCACTGATGATCACCTTCTGCACACTCTGCAAGCTTTTGATGAAGATGTTGTCCATGTCCCTGAAGAGCGTCTCCACTGCCTGGGGCCCGTGTTTGGAAGCCAGGTACTGCCGGAAGCGCTGCAGCATCCACTTGCTGCCCTGTGTCCCGGGCAGCCAGGTAAAGAGAGAAGCCTCCGTTAGCCAGGACCTGGCCTGCTTGGACACTTACACAATTGCCCTCAGTGCTTTCCTTAGACCTGGGCAAGAGGGGCCCAGCCCTGAGCCCTGTAATTAGGATGACCCCAGGTGTGCCCTTCTTTGAGAGGCAAAAATTCATGTCTAAGAGGACTAGCTATGCAGGACCCCAGAAGTCCCTGCCCACATGACATGCAGAAGCCCCTTCCCTGAGCCTGACTTGCTGAGGACAGACCACACTGACCATGTGTGCATCCCAAGGCCAAGGAGTGACCAACAGGCTGCTGTTCTCAGGGGTATGTATGTGCAAGGGCCTCATGGTGTAGGATACAGCCAGGGAAGAGAAGGGAACAGCTGTGAACTGGGGAGCTGCTCTCCTGTGTCCCCTTGATCTGGCCCTTGACTCTGAGAAGTCTGAGAATTCTGTATTTGAACCTGGCCTTGCAGGTAATTTACATAGAAAGAGAGAGAGAAAATATATCTGTGTGATACATTACATGAATCAATTAATCCATTGACCAATAGAAGATATCTGTCAAGGTAGGACAGGCCATATTTTGTTTAGGGGTGTGTTAGTGTGATTTGTAACTTTTAAATACTTAGATACATGATATGTGGGCCACCATTTGTAGTCCTGCCCTGAGCCCTGCAAGTGCAGGCCTGCCTCACTGGCCGACTCAGCCTCAGACAGGCCTGTCCTGGGCCCCTTGCCACGCCACCCTCCCCACCCCTACCTGGCCCCAGAGGGCCGCACCGAGCAGAGCGGAACCTGGCTTCCTCACCTTCTTTGGGTGGTAGTCAGGAGACGTTTTTTGCACAGCAACGTTGGTGAGGTGAACATCTGGCAGAGCGTGGTGGTCAAGGTCATACCTGACCTCAGTGTGAACAAAAAGGGTGAGCCCTGCCCCACGAAGCCCTCAGGACTGAACTGAGACCTTGCCTGGGAATCAATGGGGAAAGCGGCAAAACAGCATCACAGTCATGTGTGTGGGCTGTGGAGTCAGATGGGCCTGGGTTCAAATCCTGCCTGCATCTTTCCTGGCTATGGGGTCCTAAAAAGCCATTTAACTTCCCTGGGCCTGTTTCCCCAGCTTTTAATGGGGGTACATAGTAGCATATTGAACTCACAGGATTTTTAAAACGTTAAATACTGTACCTCTTCCAGCGCCTGGCATAGCTAATATTATTTTTCTTTTCTTTTCTTTTAACCTTTGTGTTACAATCTTTTTTTTTTTTTTTTTTTTTTTTAGGAGAGCCTCGCTCTGTCACCCAGGCTGGAGTTCAGTGGCATGACGTGCTCACTGCAGCCTCCACCTCCTGGGTTCAAGTGATTCTCCTGCCTCAGCCTCCCAAGTGGCTGGGATTACAGACACGTGCCATTACACCCATCTAATTTTTGTATTTTTAGTAGAGACAGAGTTTCACCATGTTGGGCAGGCTGGTTTCAAACTCCTGGCCTCAAGTGATCCACCTACCTTGGCCTCCCAAAGTGCTGGGATTACAGGTGTGAGCCACTGCACCCAGCCTGATTTTTTTTTTTTTTTTTTTTTTTTAATTAAAGAGGAGAGAAAACTTTCTAACAAGTAAAGGAACCAAATACAGAATAACCATCTCAGGACACACTAGGCTGTCTTTCACTAGAGGGGTCCAGGCTTGGCAGCCACTTTGTAGGAATGTTGGCGAAGGGATCCAGCACTGGAGTGGGGTCAGGGCGGCCTTGGAAGGCCCAGCCCTGAGATTCAGCCTCTCAGTACCATCACCATCACCACCACCACTGACATCAGCAACACTTTTCAGCTTACAGAGCATGTTTACCACATTATCTCATCTGTTCCCCAAATTATTCCTATCTCACAGATGAGACCTTGGAGGCTTAGAGAGATGAAGTGACTGCCATTCAGAATACCCCTTCCAGGCCGGGCGCGGTGGCTCACGCCTGTAATCCCAGCACTTTGGGAGGCCAAGGCAGGTGGATCATGAGGTCAAGAGATCGAGACCATCCTGGCCAACATGGTGAAACCCCGTCTCTACTAAAAATACAAAACATTAGCTGGGCGAGGTGGCGCGTGCCTGTACTCCCAGCTACTCAGGAGGCTGAGGCAGGAGAATTGCCTGAACCCAGGAGGCGGAGGTTGCGGTGAGCCGAGATCGCGCCATTGCACTCCAACCTGGGTAACGAGTAAAACTCCGTCTCCAAAAAGAAATATGAAAGGCCAGATGTACTGGCTCATGCCTGTAATCCCAGCACTTTGGGAGGCCAAGGCAGGTGGATCACCTGAGGTCAAGTTGACCAGCCTGGCCAACATGATGAAACCCCATCTCTACTAAAAACGCCAAAATAGTCAGGTGTGGTGGCAAGCACCTGTAATCCCAGCTACTCGGGAGGCTGAGGCAGAAGATCGTTTGAACCCAGGAGATGCAGGTTGAGGTAAGCCAAGAGGGTACCACTGCACTCCAGTTGGGCAACAAGAGTGAAACTTTGTTTCAAAAAAAAAAAAAAAAGAAATATGAAGTAAGGATCCATGCAACAACATAGAAGAACCTTAGAAACAAGCTAAGTAAAAGAAGTCAGACACAAAGACTGCATAGTGTATGATTCCATTTCTGTGACTTGTTGAGAATAGGCAAATCCTATTTGAGAAACGGGAAGTGGCTGCAAAGGGCTGGGAGGGGAGACCAGGGACGAATAGGGATGACGGCTAATGGGTATAGAATTTCTTTGGGGAGATGATAAAAATGTTCTAAAATAGCTGGGCATGGTGGTTTACACCTGTAGTACCCACTACTCACAGGCTGAAGTAAGAGGATCATTCGAGCCCATGAGTTCAAGACCAGCCTGAACAATATAGTGAGACCCTGTCTCAAAAAAAATGAAATTTTCAGCTGGTTGCAGTGGCTCATGTCTGTAATCCCAGCATTTTGGGAGACCGAGGCGGGTGGATCACGAGGTCAGGAAATCAAGACCATCCGGGCCAACATGGTGAAACCCCATCTCTACTAAAAATACAAAAAATTAGCCAGGTATGGTGGCAGGCGCCTGTAATCCCAGCTACTAGGGAGGCTGAGGCAGGAGAATCGCTTGAACCTGGGAGGCAGAGGTTGCAGTGAGCCAAGATCGCGCCATTGCACTCCAGCCTGGACAACAAAAGCGATACTCCATCTCAAAAAAAAAAAAAAAAACATTTAAAAATTAGCTAGGCATGGTGGTGCCTGCCTGTGGTCCCAGCTACAAGGGAGGCTGAGGTGGGAGGATTACTTCAGCCCAGGAGTTGGAGGCTGCAGTGAGCCATGATTGTGCCACTGCACTCCAGCCTGGGCAACACAGCAAGACTCTGTCTCAGGGAGAAAAAGCAGGAAAAGAGGATGCTGGGGCAAAGTGAGTTACTGGCTGAAGAGGGGAAATAGCTCCCTTCAGATGAAGGAAACTTGGCTCCCAGAACTTCACACTTAACACACTGCTGTAGAGGAGACAGCGGGCCTCCCTAGGAGCAGAAGAGACGCAAAAGCTACAAGAAAGGGATGGGAGATGGGCCAGCCAACATCAGAGCCTCCCACCTCTAGAGAGGAACCTGAAACCAGGTCTCAATGGACCAACGGTCAAGTAGCAGAGTAAACATACGATCAGAATAAATCCACAGAGAAACAGCTGATTCACTGTGAAATCTTTAGGAGGAAAAGACTTTTCTTAGCTTAGAAATGATGGTAAAAATCACCCAATGGACAAGTAAGATGTGAAACATGTGAAAATAAAAATGAACAGATGTCGAGAAAAAAAGAATCAGGGACCACAGAAAAGATGTGTAGCACATGTGATAGTCTAAATGTTTCTATCACATGAAAATCCCTCATGAATTAACAATAAAAAGTATGACTATTTACTAAGGAAAGGACATGGACAAGCATAAAAGAGAAAATAAAGCTGGTAGGACCCCAACTGGGGAAATGCTCCAAGTTCCTAGTAACACAAGATACACAATTTCAAAGGCATGCAAATGGGGGAAAATGAAAATTGGAAGAGATGCAAATTCTAAGGCAAAACTCTGCTTCCTCATCAAGTCGGTGTCATTTAAAACATCTTTTTGAAAAATTCAAAACTCACAGAATATTATAAAGAATGTCCCTATCGTGTGGTGGCACACGCCTGTAGTCCTAACTACTGGGGAGGCTGAGGCAGGAGAAACGCTTGAACCTGGGAGGCAGAGGTTGTAGTAAGCCAAGATCATGCCACTGCACTCCAGCCTGGGCAACAAGAGCAAAATGCTGCCTCAAAAAAGAAAAAGAATGCCTCTATCTGCTTCACTTAGATGTGGCCAATTGTTTCAGAAATGGCTGTTTAAAACAATTGTCCCCAGGACTGGGGAGCTAGGATGAAATGGACTGTCAATAGAGGGTAAAAATATTCTATTTTTATTTATTTATTTATTTTTATTTATGTTTTTGAGGCAGAGTCCTGCTCTTTTGCCCAGGGTGGAGTACAGTGGCACAATCTCAGCTCACTGCAACCTCTGCCTCCCGGGTTCAAGCAACTCTCCTGCCTCAGCCTCCCGAGTAGCTGGAATTATAGGTGCTTACCACCACACCTGGCTAATTTTTGTATTTTTAGTAGAGATGGGGTTTCATCATATTGGCCAGGCTGGTCTTGAACTCCTGTCTTCAAGAGATCCACCTGTCTCAGCCCCTCCAAGTGTTAGGATTATGGGCATCAGCCACTACGCCCAGCAATGGTAAAAATATAAAAGGACTCTCCTGGGAAGCAATCTGGCCAGATGGGCTTGACCCAGTATTTACACCTCTGTGACACCATCCAAGGGAAAAATCTTAAATACTGTAAAAGGTTTATGAAGAAATATGTTCCTTTGCAGCATTATGTGTCACAGCAAGAAGCTGAATACTTCCCAAATGCCTGCAGCATGGGGGATTAGAAAACCAGGAAACCTACTCAGTGGAATATTTTTGTAATGAAAAAAAGTCTACAAGGAAAATACTAGTGATGATGATTACTGCAATAAAAGATTATGTTATACAGTGGGATCATTTATATTTAAAAGGTAAATGACAATAAAAATCTCTACAAATGAACCTGGAAGGAAATACCCTAAAATAGTAAGTAGTTTTTGCTACAAAATATGCCGAGAGGCTTCCTTTTTGTACTTTTCTGAATTTTCTGATTTGATTTTAATAAGCTATACCACTTGTATTATAAAAAATGTATCCTTTAGATGTTTTATTATTTTATTATTAGAGTAAGGCCTATCAGTTGTAGAAACAATTCGTAATAGACAATGTATAAAGTTGAAAATAAATGCTTCCTGACCTGATTCTAATTCTCTGCAGTTTCCGGAGTTAATACATTACTGAGGCTGGGCCCGGTGGCTCATGCCTATAATCCCAGCACTTTGGAAGATGGAGGTGGGAAGATTCAAACTGTTGAATTGAGGTGTCACACTCCTGAAGTGAGGAGGTTTGAGCCCAGCCTGGGCAGCATAGTGAGAACTCATTGCTACAAAAAAAAAACAGCCAGACATAGTGGTGTGTGCCTGCAGTCCCAGCTACTCAGGAGGCTGAGGTGGGAGGATCACTTGAGCCCAGGAGTTCAAGGCTGCAAAGAGCTGTGATCCCACCACCGTACTCAAGCAGGGGCAACAGAGAGGGAAACTGTCAATCAGTCAATCAGATAGATGAGTGAATCATGAACATCCTTTCATACGTCTTTCTAAACAGAAATGTACTTCCTTAAAGGCTAAAGTGGTAACAGGAATATATCAATTCTCCAGCTTACATTTTGTTTTTCACTTTTCATCTTAATCATCTTTCTAGCTCATGGCTTCTCGATGTATCTCATTGCTTTTAACAGATGTATAAGATCACACAGATGCCTTAAAATTCATTTCACCATCTCTCAAGGGAGATTTAAGGGATCAAGGGTAATGATTGTTCACTATTATATACAGTGTTTCAATGAATATTTCTGTATTTAGTGTATGAATAAATATACTATGTGTAAACATATATTTGAATAATTATGTATAAACTATATTATATATAATAAAGTCAAGTTAAAAATGTTATTTTGTGATCCAAAATTATTTTAAAAGTTAGTATGTGATATCTGAAGTGAATATGACAAAATATTAATCTGTTAAATCTGGATGGTGAATGCATGGGTTGTTATAGCCTTTCCTGCAGTTTTCTATTTATAGAAAATTATTTTTATTAATATTTCAAGATTAAAATTTTTAAACAATATAAAAGAAGAGGTGGAAAATGATGTGTATTTACTCACTGTGAAAACAGCAAAGCCTCATTAACTAGAAACTAGAAACTAGCCCTGGGAGAGGGCTTTGCTTAAAAAGTCCCCATGATGCCCAGAGTTGTGCAAACATGTTTAAGTGGGAGAGGAGGACCACTAATATTTTCCGAGAAGTCACTCTGGGCCAGCCACTGTTCTAAGTGCTTTACATGTATTATTTAACTTTAGTAAACAACTAGGTGGCAATTAAACTAAACTCAATGACTTGCAGATGATAAATGCTTGTTAGAATTACAAAATAAAATAAATGTAACAGAACTGCTGACGTTGGCAAAATAGAAAAAAACAAATTGCGAAAAATACTCAGAAAGGTCTAATTCCAGACGCACACGCAAAGGCATCACCTTGGACACGCACTCAGCTGAATGAGGAAATTAATGCAGACAGACACAGATGACCTCAAAGCACTGGCTGGGTTGCCCACGCCCCAAGCAGGGCAGCATCACCCCCATTTCCATCTTTCCCATGTGCAGGTCATCTGGTCCTGCCCATTTGCCTCCTAAATATTGCTGGATTGTCTACCTCTTTTATTCTGAGGCTCAGGCCTAAAGATCTTAAAAACTTTCTTTGATGTGTCTATTTTGACCAGAAAATACATTCACATGGCTCAAAAATTAAAATGCACAAAATGTATGTAAGGAAACATCTCCTTTCTACCTCTGCCTCCACTCACATTTCTCTTCCCGAAGGTAACATCTATTTCCAGGTTTTTTGTTTTGTTTTGTTGAGACAGGGTCTTGCTCTGTTGCCCAGGCTGGAGCGCAATGGCATGATCTCGGCTCACTGCAACCTCCGCCTCCGGGGTTCAAGGATTCTCACGCTCAGTCTCCCGAGTAGCTGGGATTACAGGCAATGTGCCACCATGCCTGGTTAATTTTGTATTTTTAGTAGAAATGGGGTTTCACTATGTTGGTCAGGCAAACTCCTGACCTCAGGTGATGCACCTGCCTTGGCCTTCCCAAACTGCTAGGATTACAGGTGTGAACTACCACACCCAGCTTCTTGTCTGTCCTTCCAGAGATGTCTATATACAGAGAAGCAAACATATATATAGAGAGATATATAATTTTTTTTTTTGAGACAGGGTCTTGCTCTGTCACCCAGGTTGGCATGCAGGGGCAAATCACAGCTCACTGCAGCCTCAAATTCTTGGGTTCAAGTGATCCTCCCACCTCAGCCTCCTGAGTAGCTGGGACTACAGGCACGTGACATCGCATCTGGCTAATTTATTTTTATTTTTTTCATAGAGACAGGATCTCACTATGTTGCCCAGGCTGGTCTTGAACTCCTGACCTCAAGTGATCCTTCTGCCTCAGCCTCCAAAGTGCTGGGATTACAGGTGTGAGCCACCACATCTGGCCAGATACGATTTTTAACAGGAACGAGAACATATTTTCACACTGTTCTAGACATAATTTTTTTTCCCAATTAACAATACATCTTGGCAATTATTTCATATCAGTACATAAAGCACTTTCCCCATTCCTTTTTAAGAGCTTCGTAGTATTCCACTGTATTAAGGAGCCATTCATTTCATTGTTCCCTATTTTTTGCCTTCACAAATGAGGCTGTGCAGTGAATAACCTTGAAGCCTGTCTTGTTCTACACTGCAAATGTACTTGTGAGATGATAAAATCCCAGAAGGGGAATTGCTGGGTCACAGGGTAGTGTGCCTTTGTCTTTTAACAGATCTTTGCCAGATTGTCTTCAAAGGAGTCACACCAATCAATGTACAGTCCTGCCAGCAACATATGTATTCTCCCACCCTCACCAAGACAGTATGTTATCAAACTTTTGGATCTCTGCCAATCGGATTAGTGAAAATAGCATTGTACTTGAATGAAGGAGTGGGCCAATGACTAGGCACTGAAGGAGAGGCACATAAAAGGATGCAAATGGGTCGGGTGCAGTGGTTCCCGCCTGTAATCCCAGCACTTTGGGAAGCTGAGGCAGGTGGATTACCTGAGGTCAAGAGTTCAAGACCAGCCTGACCAACTTGGAGAAACCTCATCTGTACTAAAAATATAAAATAATAATAATAATAATAATTAGCTGAGCCTGGTGGCACATGCCTGTAATCCCAGCTACTTGGGAGGCTGAAGCAGAAGAATCGCGGAACCTGGGAGGCAGAGGTTGCAGTGAGCCGAGATTATGCCATTGCACTCCAGCCTGAGCAACAAGAGCAAGACTGTCTCAAAAAAAAAAAAAAAAAAAAAGATGCAAATGTTCTCCAAAGGGGTTAAAACTGTCTGACCCTAGGAATATTAGGCATAGCACCAAAACTAACAGTTTGTGGTGTGCTGCTCTGAGCAGAGTTGGCCTCTCCTGTGGAATCACCCCTACAAGACTGGAAGCTCCCAGAGGGAAGGGACCAGACCCGTCTTGTAAACTGTCTCCTGTGCCCAGACCACAGCAGGCACTCAGCAAACACCTGTGGGACAAAGGAGCTCACTTGGGACTGACCAGAGTGTAGGAAGGGTAGGTGTGTGGGGGGTGGTTAGGCAGCATCCCAGGATACACTGGTCATCTATGCTGTTCAATGTGAAGCGGGTGTTGGAGAATCGGGCAAAGCCATCCCTGTAGAGCCAGGCCCGCAGCGGGATGTACTGACACAGAGGGGGAACGAGAGAGAGAAGAGAAAACGTATATGTACAGGCATTCTCACACCACCTAGCTCTTGCACCTACCATTTCCTCCCCCTGGAGTCCCCTTCTGTCTTTCCCAAATCAGACACCTGCTCTCACACCAGGCTTCTTTGATTGTATCCCCTCCTTTCCCCGGGGGAAAAGGGGATACAGAAGGAAACAAAATGAAGGTAAGGTCCGGGAAGACAGGGGTGGAGTCTGTCTCAGACACCCCCCGTAGCTTGTGCCCAGCATAAAGGTTTGAACGTCGACAGAAGGGATGAATGAATGGGTGGAGGGAAGATGGCAACTCCCTGATTAAGAGAGGCTCTGAGGCCAGGCTGCCTGGATTGGAGTCCCAGCTCTGCTGCTCACCAACTGTGTGACCTTGGGCAAGGTAGACAACCTCTCTCTATCTGTCCCCTCATTGTAAAGGGAGGATAATAATAGAACCTACCTCCCTGGGTTGTTAGGAGGCCTGAATGTGATAAAACCTCCTAAGTGCCGGGGCCTAGTACTTAGTAGGTGCTCAGTAAATGTCTGCTGTGGATGACCGAATGAATAAAGAAGGGCAAAGAGAGAGCAAGTCTAGATTTGGGGGCATCTAAGATGGTAAACTTCGGGTACGTCTCCCTGCCCCCACCCCATCCCTAGATGTCCCCCCGGGCTCTCTCAGGCAGAGATAAAACCAGACAAGCTCACACAAGGTACCCGCAGGCCATTTCCCCCATCTCCAGAGTCGAGCCACCCTTTAACCCCTGCTGGAGGAGGGCCCCCCGCTTCGTTACTCACCGACATCACCAGCACATAGACACGCAGGTCAAACTTGCGGCCTGTCAGACAAGGAAAGAATTAACTTGTGCAACAAGCAGTGATCGTCAGACATTGTGCTAGGTTTTGGGGAAATAGCAGTGGACAGACAGGAAACTCTGCCTTTATGAAGCTCCTGCTGAAACTACAGAAGGGGTCAGGCACAGTGCCTCATGCCTGTGTGATCCCAACACTCTGGGAGGCTGAGGCAGGAGGATCACTTCAGGCCAGGAATCCAAGATCACCCTGAGCAACACAGTGAGACGCTGTGTCTACAGAAAATTAGCCTCCCATGGTGGTGCCCACCTGTAGTCTCAGCTACTCTGGAGATTGAGGCAGGAGGATCGCTTGAGACCGGGAGACGGAGGCTGCAGTGAGCTATGACCATGACATTGCACTCTAGTCTGGGTGACAGAGACATGGGCTCAAAAAAACACAACAAAAACTACACAAGGTATAAAGACAGAATAATGGGAGGTGGGGAGGGATGCGTGGGGGTCAACGTGGGGGAAAGGCTTGAAACTCAGAAGTCAAATAAGACCCCTCTGGGGAGTAGTAACCTTCACGGAAGTTACTGCTTTCACAGTAATAACCTTCACAGTGCCTGCCTAGCCCAGAGTGGTGCAGGACCTTGGGTGGGAGAAACTGCAAGAACCGAAGCCTGGAAGGGGAAAGAGCTTGGGCCAAGGGCAGAGAGGAAGGAGATGAGGTTGGCTAGGCTGGCAGAGGTCAGGCCCCGTGCATTTTTGGGGTTCTGTCCCAAAAACCATGGGAAGCCACGGAAGGGTATCTCCTCCCTCTGGCTGTCACTTTGAGGTGGAGCAAAGCGGGCAGAGCAGCAGCAGGCATCAATGAGGAGGAGAGTGTGGTTGTCCAGGAGGGAGAGGATGGTGGCTGGGACCAGGGCAGAGGTGAGAGGAGCGGCCGGACAGATTCAAGAGCTTGCGGGATCCTGGCAAGAAACAGATGTCGGGGGAGGAAGGGGACATACCCAGAATAGCTCCTGGCTTCTGGCTATGTCCCCGATGGAGCAGCTGAGAGATGGTGGGGGGATGGGAGGGCAGGACTTGGGGTGTGTTGGGTTTGAGTGGCTGGCAGATGCCCAAGAGGGATGTCACAGGCTGCTGGACATCAGGATCTGAAGTTCAGGGGCAAGGTCCTGGCTGGGGACAGAAAGCTGGGAGTCACTAGCCTTTGGGTGGTGTTTAAGTCACAGACAGGACAGGGTCACTATGGGGGAGAGAGGAGAAGAGACCCAGGGGCTGCCCTCCGGGGAAGGTAACTGCCAGAAGACGTGGGAACTGGCATTAAGACTTGCAATGATGTCACCCATGCCTGATGTCCTGTAGTTCCCAGAGCCCATGTAAGAGGAGCAGATGCTGGGCACAGCTGGGGAAACCCACTAAGGTTGCAGGGAGGAGGCTGGGTTCTACCTCAGGGCCTCTGCCCTTGCACTTCCTCCTCCCTGCATTCCTTTCCCTCCAGATCTACCCACGGTGACTCCCAGTTGCCACTCAGGTCTCAGCTCACATGTCACCTGCTGGCCCCCACATCATTCTCTGTCCCATTGCCCTGCTTGACTGACTTCATAACACCAGCACTGCATGGGACTGTCCCGTGGTGTGTTTTCTGGTTTACTGCAGCCTGCTCATTGAGGTTATATCAACTCCAGAGGAGCAGGGTGGGGGGCAGCATTCAGGGCAGTGCGGGCACCAAAGAGGCACTTGAAAATATCTGTTGGATAAATGCGTGAATAAGTAAGTTGGGTTTTTTTTTTGTTTTTTTTTTTTTGAGACAGAGTTTCGCTCTTGTTACCCAGGCTGGAGTGCAATGGCGTGATCTCGGCTCACCGCAACCTCCGCCTCCTGGGTTCAGGCAATTCTCCTGCCTCAGCCTCCTGAGTAGCCGGGAGTACAGGCACGCGCCACCATGCCCAGCTAATGTTTTGTATTTTTAGTAGAGACGGGGTTTCACCATGTTGACCAGGATGGTCTCGATCTCTTGACCTTGTGATCCACCCTCCTTGGCCTCCCAAAGTGCTGGGATTACAGGCGTGAGCCACCGCGCCCGGCCGTAAGTTGGTTTTTAAAGGAGGAAAATTTTCCTGAACCAAGAAGGGAATGGAAAGGGCATGCCAGGCAGAGGGAATGTATGGGCAATGGCTAGGAGGTGGGAGACTGCAGAATTGATCTCTTTCCATGCGTCCCTTCACGCCTAGTGTCAGGCTGGGCCCTTGGCAGCCTGCTGGTCAAGGCTTGTTGACTGACTGACTGATGACTATGCAGTAGAAGAGCAGGAGCAGAGACAGCCATCTTACCTCCTATCAGGTAGGGATTTTCGATGTAACGCTGAGCCACATAGTTCTCCACAGGAATATCATCTTTCTGGTCATCAGAGTTTCTTGTGTCCTAGTAATAATAATAATTGAACACTTATCTATGGATCATTGCCTGTGTACTAGGCATTGTGTGAGACACTACTTGGGGTAGCTCATTGGATCTTTAAATCAACCCTATCGGGTAAGTACTAATGTTATTCCCATTTCACAGACAAGAAACTGAAGGACAGAGAGGGAGAGTAACTTGTCCAAGGTCACACAGCCAGTTAATGGTGTCGCTGGGATGTGAACCTACACGGTCTGGGCCCAGAGCCTGAGTGTTTATCCTCTAGACTTGCGTTGCCCAGTAGGGCAGTCACTGCCACAAGAGGCTATTTACATTTACCTTGACAGAAAGTCAATGAAATTACATGGTGCAACACGGGTGAAACTCGAAAACACAGGCCAAGTGAAATAAGCCAGACACAAAAGGACAAATATGGTCTGATTCCACTTAGATGAGGTGGCTAGAGTAGTCAAGTTCATAGAGACAGAGGTGGATGGGGGTTGCCAGGGGCTGGGGAGAGGAGGGAATGGGGAGCTGCTGTTGAACAGGTAGAGAGTTTCCATTTGGGAGGATGGAAAGTTCTGGAGATGGACGGTAGTGGTGGCTGTACAACAATGTGAATGCACTTACAAAACCAGACACTTACAAGAGGTTATGATGTAACTTTCACGTTACTTTATATTTTACCACCGTTTTGTTTTGTTTTTGTTTTTGTTTTTTTTAAGAGTGAGTCTCACTCTGTTGCCCAGCCTGGACTGCAGTGGCACTATCTGGGCTCACTGCAACCTCCACCTCTCAGGTTCAAGCAACTCTCGTGCCTCAGCCTCCCGAGTACCTGGGATTACAGATGAGAGTCACCACACCCAGCTAATTTTTGTATTTTTAGTAGAGATGGGGTTTCGCCATGTTAGCCAGGCTGGTCTCGAACTCCTCGCCTCAAGTGATCTGCCCACCTCAGGCTCCCAAAGTGCTGGGATTACAGGTGTGAGCCACCGTACCCAGCCCACAATTTTAGAAAAGGATATGAAATTTAAAATCCAGTCCTCAGTCACACCAGCCACGCGGCAAGTGCTCCACATCCCACCTGTGGCTAGTGGTCGCTGCACTGGAGAGCACAGATATCCATCATTTCCATCCCTCTAGAAAGTTCTGTTGGACAGTGCTGCCTACACCACCTATGGGCCTCCGAAGACATCGCTCCTTCTCCTCTACCTGCCAGCCCAGCTCTGGAGGATAGCAATGCTCTCATGCATGGGCACAATACCTCAAAGGCTGCAAATGCCTTTCCCACCCGTTGTCCCCTTCGCTCAAAGACAAGGGTCACACACTTGATGAGGTCACACAACCAGCCCAATGGCAGGCAGCACTGGCTCTCAGGACAGACCTGCTCCACCCACCACTGCTCCCTGCTCTGCTGTGTCAAGACAGAAGCAGCCAGGTCTTGCCTTCCTGGGACCTGGGCCCAGCTCCACCTCCACTCATGTGGCTGCCAGATGGACTGACAGTACTCCTCCAGGCAGGCTGGGCCTCCAGGCTGCTGAGCTTCTTCCCTGCAGTGCCCTGACAGTTTCATGGGAGGAGTCAAGACATTGAGCACTGCTGTGCGCCTCCTGGTACAGCAGGTGCCAGTCCTATAGGATTTCAGCCATCCTGCTCCTCCCACCCGCCCTGCACCATCATCACCGCTCAGCTTCAGAGGGCTTCAGCCATTTTTCCAAGACCACACAGCTGCTGAGTGGAAGAGGTAGGATTTGAACCAGGATTTCTACTGCACTGTGTCTTGGGACAAGAATGGAGTCGGGGTGGGAGGAAGCTGCCCCAAAGCTCAGTCTAGGCCCTGGAGGAAGAGTCAATCATACTCTCCCCAGCCACGTGAGCGGGAGGCCCAGATAAAGAATGTGCATCGGCCGGGAGCGGTGGCTCATGCCTGTAATCCCAACACTTTGGGAGGCCGAGGCGGGCAGATCATGAGGTCAGGAGTTCAAGACCAGCGTGGCCAATATGGTGACAATGTCTCTACTAAAAAATACAAAAAATTAGCCAGGCATGGTGATGTGCGCTTATAATCCCAGCTATTCAGGTGGCTGAGGCAGGAGAATTGCTTGAAACTAGGAGGCAGAGGTTACAGTGAGCTGAGATCGTACCACTGCTCTCTACCCTGGGTGACAGAGACTGTCTCAAAAAAAAAAAAAAGACTGTTCATTAAGCACTGAGTATCAGGCACTGTGCTGGGGGGAGGGGTGTGTGTGTGTGTTTGCTTATCAGTTACCATCTCAATCTACTGAGGCACTGACAGGTGAAGTAACTTACCCAAGTGCACACAGCTATTGAGTGATTGAGTCACAAGGTCAAGATTTGAATCTGGACAATCTGGCTCTGGAGAACCCCACTCCAACGGGTAGAGTTTCTCTGCCAGCCCTCTGAGCTTTGACAGCAGGAAGGAGGGGCCCCTCCAACAGCGAGGTCAGAGGAGGGTTCCGGGAGGAAGGGGGAAGAGGCAGGCTCACCTTCCTCCAGTCCATGATGTCCTTCAGCCTGCGGAAGAGGAAGATGCCTTTCCCCTGCGACCGGGCTACCTGGGGAGGGGTGGGGGCAGAAAGCCGGCTCTTAGCTCTGCATGGTTCCTTGTTGGCTCCCCTGGCTGGGGCCTCTCCCCAGCAGCTCTCTGTCTCTTTTCCCCACCAGCCCCCAGCTGTCCCCAGAGGAAGGCTAGCTGAAGGGGCTGGAATAGAGAAGGTGCTAACCCTGGCAGAGGGAGAGAGGAAAGAGAGGGGAAGGGGGAGACTGACTTAGCTCACAAAGACATATATTTGCATGAATAATGCAAAAGAACAGACAATTAAAAAGCCATTTCTAACAGTCCTGGGAACATATCATCTGATTCTTTTTTTGGAAATCAATTTGCCTTCCTAATTAGGGTTTGCTTCGGCTAATACTGAAATCAGCCTGGCTTTACTGAACCCCAGCATGGATAATTCATAGCTTCACAGAGTCAAGGGGCTAGAAGAATCTTTGATCTCATACAGAGTGGTCCTCAGCAAAGGCATTACTCCCCTTCTACCACTATAGAAGGACGACAGTCTCCCGCCTGGCCTTGCACACCCACAGTGCCTAGGAGCTCACTACCTCCCCCCACCCACGCCAAACATAGCTCATTTTGTTACAGGATAGCTTTGTTAAATAGTCATCCAAAGGGTATATATGAGGTGCATACTGTAATGTTGGGCATTATGCAATAACCCAGACCTCATGGAACACAGCCTAACTTGTGTTGAGCTAAAACGGGCCAGTCCAGCTTTGGCTCCTAGGACCTCCTAGAAGCTGATTTCTGGGTACCAAAAGAGTCTTTTAGGTATCTGCAGCCACTGAGCAGGTCCTCAGGTCATCTTTCCTCCAGCAAATGTGCAAACTCTTATTTCCTTCTGTTCTCCTCTGAGCATGGCCCACCTGAGGGTCTCTGTCGGGGCAGGCACGGCTGTCAGGTGTGGTGGTACAGGTTGGCTACTGCTCTGCCTATACCCTGCTTCAGGGTTGTGTGTGCCCAGAAGACTGGGTGCCAAAAACGCTATAGTTTCAGAAAGCAACTACTCAGTGCACCAGGAGCTTCCGACAGTTCACAGCCTTGCAGAAGACTTGAACAGGCATTTTATGAATGAAGATGACCAGTGTAAACGTGTCACAGGCTGGGCACAGTGACTCACATCTGTAATCCCAGCACTTTGGAAGGCCGAGGTAAGGAAGACTATTTAAGCTCAGGAGTTCAAGACAAGCCTAGGCAACATAGTGAGACCTCAAGACCTCGTCGCTACTAAAAATAATTTTTAAAAAATAGCCAGGTATGGCTGAGTATGGTGGTTCACGCCTCTAATCTCAGCACTTTGGGAGGCCAAGGTGGGTGGATCACTTGAGGTCAGGAGTTCGAGACCAGCCTAGCCAACATAGCAAAACCCCATCTCTACAAAAAAATACAAGAAGTAGCTGGGCATGGTGACACGCACCTGTAATTCCAGCTACTCGGGAGGCTGAGAGGCACAAGAATCTCTTGAACCCAGGAGGTGGAGGTTGCAGTGAGCCGAGATCATGCCACTGCACTCCAGCCTGGGTGACAATTTCAAGACTTCGTATAAAAAAAAAAAAATAGCTGGGTGTGATGGTGCACCCCTGTAGTCCCAGCTACTTAGGGGGCTGAGGTGGAAAGATGACTTGAGCCCAGGAGATTGGGGCTGCAGTGAGCAGGGATTTACCACTGCACAGCCTGGGCAACAGAGTGAGGCCCTGTCTAAAAAAAAGAAAGAAAGAAAAGAACAGGCATTCAACTTCATCAGAGTTGACCAACAGAGAAGTGCTAATTGACAGAGCAGGAGCACGGTCATCTCGGACAAATACCAACACTTTAAGTTCCAGCTGCCTTTCTACCCTCATGTACTCCAAGGCAATCACTTCTCTTCTAACTACAAGCAGCCAGAAAAGGCAGACAGTAAAACTCAGGACCGCTCAGGCACAGAGGGAGGTGGGAGGAAAGTCTCTTGGGTAACTGCCAAACTTCACCCTCATACAACGGGCCCCAGTAAAACACTGGGCTTTAATAAGCACGTTCCTTTCCCTTCAGGTGCACTAAGACAGGGAACCTAAAAGCAGACTCCTGGGATATGCCTGCAGCTGCAGGAAGATGAATGGGAACAGATACACAACTCTCCCTCCCAGATAAGCATAACAGAGAGACAGAGTCCAAGCCTCTGATAACTCTCCCACCCTGAATCCTTAAAAACTCTTGGTCTGTAAGGGAGTGTGGCTCTGACCTAACTCAGCCAGAAGCTCCTCTTGGGTTTGTTTTCTCTAAAATAAACCTGTCTTAACTGGCAAGCCACCTCTCGTGTTTCTTTTCTCTTTCTTTAATTCTTACACTAATGAAAATCACAATATGATACTACTACATACTACCTGAAAATGGTTACATTTAATGACAGACAATACCAAGTATTGGTGAGGATGTGGAGAAACTGGGACTTACACGCACTGCTGGTGTGAGAGTACATTGTTTGGAAACTGGCAGCATCTGCTAAAGCCAAACATAGGCATCCTCTATCCTATGTCCCAGCAATTATTCTCCTAGGGACCTACATGACAGAAATGTCTGTACATGTCACGATGGACATGACCCCAGACACCCATAGCAGCAGTATCATAATAGTTCCACCCTGAAACTCCCTAATGGATGAATATTTATTCAATGGAACAGTATACAACGATGATAGTTAACAATGCACAATTACCTACATCAGCAGAATGAACTGCAAAAACATGTCAAGGGAGAGAAATCAGACACAAGGTAGTCATCCTATAAGATTCCAATTATAGGCCAGGCACGGTGGCTCACGCCTATAATCCCAGCACTTTGGGAGGCCAAGGCAGGCGGATCACCTGAGGTCAGGAGTTCAAAACCAGTCTGACCAACATGGAGAAACCCCATCTCTACTAAAAATACAAAATTAAGCTGGATGTGGTGGTGGCTGCCTGTAATCCCAGTTACTCAGGAGGCTGAGGCAGGAGAATTGCTTGAACCTGGGAGGTAGAGGTTGCAGTGAGCCAAGATCATGCCATTGTACTCCAGCCCGGGTAACAGAGCAAGACTCTGTCTCAAAGAAAAAAAAAAAAAATTCCAATTATATAAAGTCAAAAAGCAGACAAAGTAAACCTATGCTGTTTAGTGCCTGGGGTAGGGGTGGGGGTTGTGAGTGAGTGGAAGGGGGCCTGAGAGGGCTGCTGAGGGGTAGGAAATGCTCTGCTTATGATCTGGGTCCTGGTTACTTGAGTAGATTCACTTTGCAAAAATTCATACTGTACCCCTATAATTTGGCTACTCTTCTATATTTTATTAAAATTAAAGTCTCCTTTCAGGTTCACACACTTTGATCTAGAAGCCCCTATCCCCAACCCTGTTGGCTGCCCTCCCTATGACCACTTTCCTTCCTCTTGTTCCTTGCCAGAAAAACCCACCTCTCGTGCGGGAGGCTGGAAAGGCTAGATGCTGGTTTTTCCAGCTTCCCTTGCAGTTGGTGGAAACCACATGGCCAGTTTTGGCCAATCAGACCTAAGGAGACATTTGCTCAGAGATTCCAGGAAAGATGTTTCTCCTTGTTAAAAATATTAGGGAAACAGCAGGAGAGAAAAGCAAGGTAGGGAAGAAATGTCCTGGCCTCCTTCCTTCTATCTTTGAATGCTACAGTCTGCAGAGAGGATGCCTGTGACTGTAGCAGCCATGTCACATCCATGGGGTGACAAGTCTGATAAGAAAAAGCCAGCACACAGGATGTAGAGTGGATGGAGAGAAGGAGCCTGGGACTCTAGCAGGATCATCAAGCACATCCCCAACCCTGGATCTGCCTACCCTCAGCCTTCTTGTTCTATGAGATAACAAAATGCCTTTACTGTTGAGGCCATTGTTAGTAACTTGACACGACTGGTCCAGGAGGTGCCTTCCTAAGGCACTAACCCTAAAGAATGAAAGATGAACCACCCGCATGGTGTTACGTCAGGGTTGATGAGATGGAAATCACCTAATACCTATCTCTAGCAGATGACAATTTCCAGAAACAACCACATTATTTCCAGTCCCATATGTTCTCCAGAACCCTGTCAAGAGGTAAAGTCAATGACCCCTTCCCCTTGAATCTGGAAGTGTCTCTACTAATTGCATAGGGCAGAAGTGATGTGTGGTTTCCAATGCAAGGTCATAAAAGGCAATACAGCTTCTGCCTGGCGCTCTCTTTCAGGATGGTTGCCCTCAGAACCCAGCAGGCATCCCACAGAGAAGCCCAGGTCACAGGGAGTGGCCCACATGGAAGGCAACTGAGTCTTCCAGCCCTCAGCCCTAGCTGAATTCCCAGCCAAAAGCCGGCACCTACTTGCTAGCGCAGCCAGTGAGCCAGCTCGGAAAGGGACCCTCCAGCCCTCAGTGGATGCTGAGGCACAAACGGGCCTTCCCTGTCAAGCACTGCCCACACTGGGAGATCGTGAATGAAATAAGACATTATTGTTTCAAATCACTATGTTTGGGAGTTTGCTACTCTGAAATAGATCATCAGAATTCTAGCTTTAGTAGAATGGTTCATTACAATGGCAATACCAGCAGCTAACACTTACCAGATGTTTACTCTGTGCCAGGCACCGCGATTTACACAGTTACCTCATTAAAGCTGCAAAAAACACACACTCTTGGACATAAACATTAATATTATCACCATTTTGCAGCCGAAGAACCAATGAACAGAGGGCAAGCACATTGCCCAAGGTCACCCAGCCAACAGGTAACAAATCCGAGATAGTGAAATCTGTGCTACACAAACCTGGGGCTCATATACCTCTTGTCAAGTGTCGGGGGTACACAAAATCACATGATAAACAGCGCTACTTCTGGGGGCATCTCTATTACTTGATGGTTTGGGAGGGAAGTATTTTTATGTTATGCTTTTTTCTTTGAGACAGGGTCTTGCTTTGTCACCCAGGCTGGAGTGCAGTGGCGCCATCTCAGCTCACCGCAACCTCTGCCTTCCCCACTTCAAGCACTCCTCCCACC